TATAAATTTTTAAGCCAAAAACTCACCTCACATAACTTTATAAAGGATTCTATAGTTTTAGCCATTAACAAATCATTAGGAAGGGCATTTTGAAAAAAATGTTACATTTTTTAAAATGCCACTAGTAAGATTTATTACCCATTCAATACATGTATAATAAATTTTTTTTTACTAACAACTTCTTGTTTTCTTACAAATTGTTACTTTTATACATACTAAAATTATAAATATCTTATTTTATTAGGTAAAAGAGCAATTTGCCCCCCTAAATTATATGTCTAATAGCACTAAAGACCTTATACTCGTTTATTGTGTGATTTATTCACTCATGTTTACCGGTCCTGTGGACAAACCAATGGGCCCTACCATTATAAAGTAATACAAGTTATTCTCTATCTAACATTAAGGGAAGGTTGGTACAAATTCAAAAGTTAAGAGAACATATTTTATAGCAAACAAGTTTTGGGTATTTAGTACTACTCAACCTATAATTTAGAGTTATATTGCTCTTTGTCCATATTTTATTTATAAACTTATTAGTTATGAAAAAATTAAAATGTAATTAGAAAACTACATAAATAAAAAATGTTAATATATTATCATAAAAATACAATATAAAAATATGTTTCAACTTAATGCAAGCCTATTATAGTGAGAAATGAATAAACATACGACAAAGGCACATAGTCATGCAATAATCCTTGTTATACAAATTAGCAGGCAAATCCAATATAGTTATATCAAACAATCTATGTAGGCTCCACCTATACTAACATGCTTGCAAGCACATAGGTAAAGCTTCGCTCTTCTTCTAACAATCATCCAAGACATGTAAAATATAAAAATGAATAAATAAATGAATGCTAATAAGTGTATACAACTTGCACTCTAATAAAATCATGCAATCACGAGGCTTAGAGGATAAAAATATCTCTATAATTAACTGGTAATGCTTGAATTCAGACAATGAATGCCAATTAAGAAAATGTAGTGAGATCATATGAGACAGCAGTAGTAGTGTCCTATTGAAAGAACATACTTCTCATGAAGCCTAATTCCTTAATGCCAATTCCCTTCTTGCAACTCTGCTTGTGTTTTGAAAAAACCAATAGGGAAAGGAGTAAGACAAAAGGTCTCATTTACCATAGTTATGGCTATGGAGTATCCACGGTCTATAAACAATCCAATCTAGTTAGTTTTCATAATCATGCACCAATAATCTTGAATAACAAGAGTCATAGTCTGGATAACATAATATGTCACTCCTCATTAAACAGGTTTTTCTAGCATTAACTTAACATAGCAAATCTCATATCATTATATTACATTAATATAATATAGTAAATTTGATATCATTATACCATATAGTGAACAACTTAATATGTTAATCTCATCAGCACCATCCTAATTATGCCTTTCTTATTCCTCTGGCTAAGATTATGGGTTCTAATAAATGAACATGTAAATCCATATAAGTAGGTGTCCTATCTCTCTAATCAAGAGATGTTGCCAGTCAAAGGCCTCAAAGGTCTTAACTAGACCACAACCTACCCATTTATGAACATTAGAGGTGTCATAAATGGTATTTTGAGCTTGTTCTAACCTTGGTTTTGGGATTGAGATAGCACAAACATATGGGTGCCACCCAACAAGCTCTATATAGGGTGAAGTAGTATGATCATAGACCAATGCTATTCCTCAAGAAAACCCAACACCTTTACCACCTCATTTAATTTAGTTTATATTCCAATACATATAAACAACATGAATAACTCTAACTAGTGCAATTTTCATAAATTAAATATCTAATCTAGTTCTTAAACCACAATTCACATCCTATTACAATTCATCAATTTTATCAATAATCATTATCCATAATATATCAAGTCCAGTTCAATCCAAAATTCACATCTCAATACAATTTCATCAATTTCTATCAATAGTCATTGCCCATAATCAATACATAAAACAATATTAAACCAATCAAAATTCCATTTATAGAAACATATTGATTCTCCACTTGATTGTAGTTATTTCTCAAAGCAAATGATTGCTACACATGCTGATTAGTTTTGTTTAGTAATTAGTCTTTAGAAAATAGTTGTTTACTAACACATGCATACCATGTAATCTTAAACATAGTTACTTGGGCTTGAGTTCAACATAAGAACTCAATATCTCTAATCCAAAGAGAGCCATAATTAGACAATATTAAATTTAGAGTTCAAATTAGAACCCTTGCAATATACAATGTATCCAATCATAGTCAATAGTTTGTTCAATAGCCACAATCAAGTCTAGTCCAAATCTTAATTGTTTAGCCAAATTTTAAAATTTTGATCTACTTATTATTTATGATTTCTATCATTTAATAGTCTTTGTTAATTCCTTCTAATAATTAATTATCCATAACAATGCTCATTTAGTTTTCTATCCTCTTATTTCTAAAACTATCGTAGTTTAAGGTGGTGTAGTGAAAATCAATAATAAACATGTTTACCAAAAGAAATATGTAATTTCAAAATCTTTCTTCCTTACTTTGTTAACTCTAATTAGCCTATCCTAATTCTCCATCAACCTTAAATTAATTTTTAGTTCGCAAAACCCCAATCTTGAAGAACTATAGCCTTGGGTAATTGAAAATCCAACTATCTAATACCAAATTAAATTTCCTAGAGTCTTTAGGAGTAGAAAAATAGCATGGATTTAGTTTACATTCATTTCTAGTTCATTATAATATTCCAAATCATAAATTATATTTCAGACAATAAACTGGTAATTATGCAAAAAATCTAGAGAATTAGGAATAAGAGGGAGTTACTTTTAGTTATCTAAGGCCTCAAAACCTTCCCTAGTAGTTAGGATCTTTGAACCCTAGCAAAATGGGGGTTTTTTTTATTGTTAGGGGTATTTTAGAATGAGAGGAACCTTAAAAATTTCATTTAAAATGCTTATATACTGATATGTTTTTGACCACATATGTCGGTGGCCACACCAATGTATTTTATGTCTGCTAGCGAATGAAGGGCTAGTGGTTGGGTTACCACTTTTTTTCATTTTAGTCCATGAACATGAATAGAAGGTTTCATGCATACCCATTGATGTGAATAAAGAGCTCAGACTTGTACACTGGAGCCTTTGCATCTCTTAGTGGTGCATTTGGGAATGAAATGTGACTTCAAAATGGCCTTGTGCTTACCTATAGAGCATTTTCTAGATAAGTTCCAAGGCAAAGGTTTGGTAACCAGGGGAATGATAGTAACTAGAATAGGAGAGTTTATAACAACTTTAAAATTAGTGTCTTCTCTTAATCCTAATGCTCCTTACTTGTTTGTGAAATTTCCTTAAGCTTTGTAGTTTTTTTTTTGAAGTTGAAGGTTCTAAAGTACCTTAAGGCTTCTTAAGCTTTCTTGAGATGGAAGGAGTAGAAACAAGTTCAGATGAAGCAGGTACTACACCTTTAAACTTGACGAAAAGGTCATAATCAAGCTTGTATTATACACAAAAGAATAGAGTAAAGTCAACAGAGCTTGAATAAAAAATTAAAGAGGATAGAGTAAGTGACTTATAGAAGAAGTCATTAATAAATGACCTTAAAGCACCATGGCTAAAAACTTCTTGCAACATGGGGAGGTCCAAGCTTCACAAAGAAGGTTGGTTTTGTTAGAAATTGTGCCTTAAGGCCAATCATTATCCTATGTACATTGTTATTTAATGAATTTCTCTTTTGTTATCATAACAATTGCATGTTCAATATGATAACTGTATCCCTAGACAAACTATAGTAATTGTCCTAAATATCTCTAGTCGGTCATCTTTGAGGGATCATAGATGAAACAAGACTAATATGACTTTGATTAATTATAGAGATACAAATTAAAGTCATAAACACTTGAAAGCGTATAAGGTGCTGGACCGACACGCTATGAGAAAGTTGCATGGTACAAGTCATAAGCTTATCTTATATGTAACTATATCACGAAGTCCTTTGACTTGAGATCATCATAAATTTCTATATGATGACCATTGAACTTGGACCTAGTCAAAAGTCACTTTCGACCAGGTGATCATAAAGGCTATGATTGAGTTTAGTGATATTCATACAGAGGAATATGAGTTGTCAAGATGGAATTTGTCCCTCACATTAAGTGAGAGATATTACTAGGCCTCTCGATGTGTAAGACTGAGAAAATGTATGACCAAACTATAATGAAAAGGGTTTTTCCATTACTATTGTCAGTCTACTTAGATAGGAGTGAGCATCGATTCTAACGGTTCGGTTTGATTTTGATTTAAGTGAACTGAAAAAACTAAAATTCATCAAACTATTCAACCAAATCGAACCGAAGGTTTATAAAAACTGAAGTGGAACCGAACCAAAGTTTAGTGGTTCGGTTCATTTTTTGTATTTCAGTTACTGGGCCTTATATACAACACTTTGGGCCTGATTTTGGCAGCATTTTAGGCTTATTTTTGAAAGCATTTTGAGCTTTTTTGACAGCATTTTGAGCCTTTTTTAACAGCATTTTAGGCTTATCTAAAAAAAATGCTGATTAACAAATAATTTAAAACACCAAATCCTAAAAGGGTGAATCAAGGGATTTTTAAATAGACCTTATGAATGAGGCTATAAAATCTAGAAATGTCAAAAAATAAAATAATCAAATTCAGTCATTCAGATCTATAACTATAAGTTGAAGAAGCAGAGCAAAAGACACATAATTTATAAATTGATAATTTACCTAATATAAATTCTTAACAATCCAAAATAATCCACCAAATAACAACAATAATCCCTTAAAAAACTGCAAATAAGTTCAAGATTTTTAACATAATCCAAAATAATTAATCCATTAGATCATCACATGTTGTTAGCTGTCATTGACACAAAATTTTTGCTCTAGCCTGTATTATAAAAGAAAATAGTTAAACATCTGGCCAAAATATTACAAAACTAAAAAAAATGAACAAGCTTATTACAAAACTAACCACCAAAAAGACTAGAAGAAGACAGCAACAAGAACCAACAGTCCACCAGGCACTAGAAGTTAGAAAACTACAAAAACCAACAATAAAACAAAGATCACAACTACATGAACCAATTTCCATAGACAGCAATAATGAAGAGTTACCTTAAAGAGTTCAAACTATATCCACTGCTGATTCTAATCCAATTCTTTGGAAATCTATAAATAAATCAATTTAGGAGTTAAATTAAATCATAAACAAATGAATTTTAAAGGTAACATTGTACATACATAACATTATAAAATTTTTACTTCTTTCAATCCTTTGAATATCATCTAATTTCTCTTCCACAACCATAAGAATGGAGTGACGAAGCCAATCTTCAGCACAAATAAGGGCTTGCACAACTTTAGGAGTTAAAGAACTCCTAAATGCATCCAAAACATGTCCTCCAGTGCTGAATGTAGATTCTGAAGCAACTATGGATATTGGTATTGTCAAAACATCACTTGCCAACCTTGAAAGAATGGGAAATCTAGGACCATTCAATTTCCACCAGCCCAATATATCAAAGTTAGGTCTATCTATTTCAATTTCCTCATTCAACAATTTCCTCATTCAAATATTTATCAACTTCAGTCCTATTATTTTTTCCACCAAGGTGGTCACTTAAAAATTTTCTCTTTTCTGATTCAAGCAACTTTCTAACCTTCATAGCAAGGTCATCCTTATCACAAAAATTAGCTTGGATTTCATCCACAAGCTGCTCCTTTTCAGATTGCTTAGAGGGAGAGACATGTTCTTTGTATTCATGATATAAAGCAATGAAAACATCCTTCACTTGCTTTGCCAAATTTTCACCTTCATCATTAAACATTTTACAAAGAGCAAATTGAACCCATTCCAACTTATATTGAGGATCTAGAATAGCAGCAATATAAATGAGTTGGTTCATCTTTAAAGGATCTCCCCAATACTTGTCATATTTTTCTTTCATTTTAAAAGCCATTGATGATAGCTCAAAATCATCCAAAAGGCGATATATCATGTAAATCTCATAAAACAAGCTATTGGATGTAACATAAAAAGCACCAGACACACGCAAAGTCATTTCATAAAAATGACTCAAAAACATCACCATCCTTCTAACATTCCTCCAATCAGCAGCATCAGGCACCCCCTCCCCTTGTTCAAGATCAATGCGAAAGTAAGGGTCTTTGTCCTCAAACCTCTTAAAAGCTACCTCAAATTTTTGAGCACTCTCCAACATTAAATAAGTAGAGTTCCACCTAGTAGAGACATCTAGAGTCAAAAGGCTCTTACTTTGAATCTTCTCATCCTCACAACTCTCTTTAAACTTTTTCATCCTAAGGGCAGATTGCCTAACAAACTGAATAGCCTCCCTAACTCTCTTCACATAACTCCTTATTAATCTCAACCCATCAACAACAATCAAATTTACAATGTAAGAAACACATCTCATGTGTAAAAACTGACACTTCATGATAGAAAAGCCCCAATTAGAAATTTTTTCTTTCATGTACAATAAAGCAACATCATTAGAAGCAGCATTGTCTACCGTAATAGTAAACACTCTATCAATTCCCCATTCAAGCAAACACTTCTCAATTTCTATTCCAATATCCCTCCCCTTGTGACTAGATATTGGAACAAAATTCAAAATCCTCTTAGTCAAATTCCAGTCAGCATCAATAAAATGAGCAGTAATACACATGTAATTGATTCTTTGAATAGAAGTCCAAGTGTCAGTTATTGGACAAACCCTTTATTTGTTTCTAATCAAGTGGTCTTTGAATCTAATTTTCTCATCCATGTAAATTTTAAAACAATCACGAGCTACTGTCCATCTAGAAGGGACCTTAAATCTTAGTTGAGCAGCAACCATAAAGCGTTTTAAACACAAAGCCATCAATAAATTTGAAAGGAAGTTCATCAGTTATAACCATGTTTGCTAAAGATTTCCTAATTGCTTCTTGATCAAATTTTCTGTTAGCAAGAATAGAAGCATTATCATCTATACCAACATTTAAATGGGTTTGTATGCCTTCTTTAGGAGGAGGCCATTTCTTACACACACCTATATGATTTTTAAGTGCAGTAGTCCTATTCCTTTTTGGATCACAGAAAAACTCCCTTTCACAATAATTGCACTTACCTTTGGTTTCTCTATGCTCATTAACATATTTGTGAAAATGCTCCCAAACTTTAGACCTTGGCTATATGGCCTTCCTTTTTCTTGAACTCACTTCAGTATTAGATGTTGAAGATGGAGTTAGTGTTTGGCTATTTAGAGTGATAGTTTGTCCTTCACCTTCATGGGAGGCAAACATCTGAACCATTAAACAAAATAAAGCTTGAGACACACTTCTCAAAAGTTCAAAAACAAAGACATTTTAGAGAAGGAAGAAGAGATTAGCGTGAGATGAAGAAAATCACTAGCTGAAACCATACCTTGTGTCTATGAGTTTCCCTTATCTGAGAAGGGAGATGAAGCCTAAGCTCAGATAAACTGGACTTGAGAAAATGAAAAGAGATGAACGTTGATCTGAGGCGAAGGGAGATAAACGCTGATTTGAGCCGAGATCGAGAGAATGATGGTGGTTGAGGGAGATGAAGCTTGAGGTGATTTATGGTTCGTGCTTCATGGAGTGGGGCTGAAAGAGAGAAGAGACTCAAAGCTGAGATCAAGAGAGGAGCAGACAAATTGCTGTCTATAAAGGATTCGACGCCAATTGATCACTGATCGAGCGAGTGCGAGATGGAGATACAGAGTTAGAGAGATTGCTATTTGCTAGGGTTCATGAATCATGAGTCACGACTTTATATGGACTGTGGAGTGGCCGAGTGGGAGACAGAAACTAAACCTAAATGACTCTGATCTAAGTCTTTAAGAGCAATCGAGCGAGAGCCGAGAAGTGATGACTGTGGACTAACGAGTATGACTGGGCCGAGACTAATAATGGGCCGAGATGAAGAAAGGTGAAGGACAATTATAAAAAATATAATTATAATAATATAATCTTTAAAAAATTTATATGATATTAGTATTTTAAAAAATATAATCTTTAATAATATAAATCAATTATAATATTTATAAATGTATCTGATTAATTTCGGTTACCTCGGTTTATTCGGTTTCACAATCCTCAAATCGAACCAAACCATTCAAACTAAAATATTTTTTTTAAAAATCGAACCAACCTTTTAAACTGAATAAACCAAACCGAACAAATCAAATGTAATTTGGTTCAATTCGATTTTCAGTTTTGGTTCGGTTTTGCTCACCCCTATACTCAGAGATCGAAAAAGTAATGGTCAGATAAAGGAGAATGACAATTTTATGTCTTATGCTTGACCAAAATATCACATGACAAAAAGGATGTGATATGGTTGCATGATAGGTTACATCGAATCATTGGTCCCTATGTGAATTGGGTAGTTGCAATGTCTTGTTAGAGGCCACTTGTGACTTGTGAGCTAATAGCATAATTAGCCTACTGCCAATTTCATATGGGCCTACAAGGTTGCACACAAGAACAGTCCAACTCGAGCTATAATGTCCAAGTTTATTGAATCTGGAATATGTCTAGGTTCAATAAATGTAATATAGGGTGAATGAATTATGTATATATATATATTTGAATATTTATTTGATAAATATTTATATATATATATATATTTATATGAAATATAAAATTCAAAATATAATTTATATATATATATTTGAAATATATATATATATGTATATATCCATATATGTATATGTTTTTATATATGTATATAATATATATGATATATGTATATGATATATAACATTGAATATAGATAATATAATATATATATATATATATATTTGAAATATATATGTGTATATATATATATATTCATATATATATATATATATAATATAATATGTATATGTGATGTATTATATTATATTATGTTAATTTTAAATTTAATTTTATATGATGGATTAAATTTAATAACTAAAATGATATGAGAGAATATCATATCAGTTTTATAATTGTAATTTATAAGATAAATTTAAATTAGATACGATATTATGGATTAAATTTATAAGATAAATTTAATTAAATTTTTGTGAGTTTTTAAGTAGAAGACGAAAACCCTTAGCTATATATTATATATAGATAGGGACGTCTTTTATGAAGGAAGAGAGAGTTAGAAAAGTTTTGATGGCAAAAACACTCTGAGAGCCACAAAACACTTTATATAAAAAAAAATTAACGTTCAAAGAAGAACGGACGCTGAGAGCACAAGCACGTTGTTAGTTAGATAGTTGTTCGTGTGGATATCGGTAGAGAGAGCAGATCTACGTTGTTAGCTCTTGAGATCCAAACTTTTAAAGAGAACATGCGTCAACTTTAAAGAATTAAAAGGTAACTCTTCTATCTATCTTGACTTAAACGAGTTCGTTCGGTCTATATTAGGATAAGGACTTTAAAATTTTAATCTTTCACCGCGCCTCCCTATCTAACAGGTTCATACATGCATCAATTACATTCAATGAATTCCATACATACACTCTTCTTAGCCATAATATGAAGGATGCAAAGTGATAAATCGAATTGCCACCTACTTGTCTTAGGGTTGTAACATCTAGATTTTTTATTTTAAGAATTGATTTAAAAATTTATATTAGATTAAGGTTAGTTGAAGTTTATAAATTAATTAGGCTTGTAATTATATGTGGAATTGGACCAAGGATTGAATTTTGGGTATAGAAGACCTAAATAAGATTTTAGGCTTGGATTAGGCCCAATAGGTTTGGCTTGATGATGAATTCACATTTTCGTACCTTGCATCAGGTTTATGGCACGTCTGATATGGCATATGATGCAAAATTAGAACTTAAATTGTTCATGTGCTAGAACTAAAAGGGAGGAGAAAAGAGGGAGTATGATGCAAAACTTGAATGCCCTGTTGGCGTTGGTTGAAGAGCACTTATTGATCACAATTTTGTAAGATCAAGCAACAATATGCAAGAGGTGGAGGTGAATTGAGTGTTTAGAAAATTTTTAAATTTTTAAAAATCTCTTCTAAAACTGAGCTTGATTAGAAATAAGACAAGAAGTTTATCAAAATAAGTTTATTTAAACTTCAAACAATAAATGGATACTTAAGTCAAAAAATCAAGTAGGTATTCAAATAGAAGTTTAAATATCCTTTTGAAAAATAGATTTGAAGTACTTGAATAAAGATGAGTAAATATGCAAAACAAGAATATTAAAATCAATTATCAAAACAAAGTATTGAAAACCGTCTATAACTAATTTTTTCAAAATCAAGAAACAAGAGAGAATGAATTTGAAAAAAAGGTTTAATGTAAAGAGTGAGAGCAGAGGGATTGTACAAATCAATTTATCTTAGTTCAATTCAACCATTTGGCCCACATCAAGTCTTCAAAACACCTATGATATTCTCTCCACTAAATACCACAAGTTTAATCAAGCATTTGTGAGCTACTACAATTCCTCATTTAAAAACATTGAGAGCTTTAAAATCACATAGAGAATTCTTTCTCTATACTTAAACTAAGAGAACTCTTCCCTTAATTCTCGCCCAAATAAATGTAAGAGTGTTTCTTGATAAATTCTCTCAAAGAGATAATAGGAATAATCAAGCACACTCAATTAAAATCTCTAAAAGAGTAGATGTAACAATTGAAGCCTATAAACCAAAAACAAAGAGCTTTTCAAAAAACTTATGCAAATGCATGTAGAAATTAGTTAATGCATCATTAAATTGTTACCCACTAATCACTTAACTAAGCAAAAGCACTTTTTCTATAAAAAACAATAAAGGTGTGTCATAACTAATGTTTTAAAAACTGGACTTTATGTTAAACTAGAAATATTAGTGATTTACAATTTTCATGTTTCAACTAGTTAAACCATTGGTTGACCTTATAATATAATAATTAAATAAAATAACAATATATACATTTAATAAAAATAATTATTTTTTTACTTCCATAAAAAATTAGTTAAGTTAAATTTTCATATTCATATTAATTAATACAAGAATAAAATAATTGTAAAAATAGTAAATATCCTATATTTTAGACTAAACTTAATTAAAAAAGGTATCATAATTTAGATTGAAGTAATACAAAATGATATTTATATAATAATATCTCATTATAAAATGTAATGAATTTTAATTTTAATATTAATTTGTTTGTGTCTTTCATAACATTGAAAAAAGTGAAGGAATTGTTTTTCATTTGAAAAAATTCCTAGCTATTAGCCATTTGTATATCTAGTCTAAACTTTCAAGTCTTATACTTCTATATTACTTCCCCCTTTCTTTCCATCATTTGATGATAGAGCTTGGGTTTTCAAATTTTCTACTTCATTTGCCTTTGGTTTCAATTTAATTCCCATCAAGCAATTCCTTCTTTGTTCTGACATAGACCCCTAGGATTCAGAGCATTAAAAGTCCAAGCTCATGGCTCCAAGTTTTCTCTTTTGATTTCATCTTCAAGTTTTTCATTATTTTTATTGCTATTAAAAAGGGAGATATAAGGTATATGGTAGATTTTTTTTTAGCTTCTTCGTCTTTCTCCTCCTCCCTTCATCTTCTCTCTTCTACTTCACATTTGAAAACAATCAGAAGTTGGAACCTCATTCTTTAGACTTGCTTAATTTGTTGAAACTTGATTGAGTTTTTGGTTCCAAAGCCAATTTGAAA